AAAACTTTTGCAAAACTTATAACTTGACCATACTACTAGACCGAATAAACGCGAACTGTACCAGAATAAAAGTTATCAGTCCTGTATTTGCAGGTTTTATTTGTCTTTTGAGAATATTTATGTTAATTGGAATGAAAATTGGATATTCAACTTTTCTTATGGCTATTTAACACGGGGCTAGTTCTATATTTATATAGATGAGCATGCTTATTGAAAACATTTCTTCCCAACTCCTGTGAATCGCAGGAAAAATTTACGCCTACTGTTAGAAAAGTATTTGGCAGTAGATGTGCAGAATCCCTTTGTAAATTAGAATAGGCTCAATAATAAGCACAAAAAATTTGTTTAAAATTTTTAAAAATTAACATGGACCTTTGCCATGTTGGCGATGAAATAACGACAATGTTTAATTGGAAATCAAAACAAATTGAAGAAATTCCAATCACATGTTTTATTTGTGGGATGAAAATGGAGAAGTTCGCATACATACTTTTAATCGAGTTTTCGACCACAGGTAGAACTCTAGTTATAAAACTAAACACATTTATTTAGTGTCTCATGTTACTTATTAATTTATTAATTTTAAAATATTTTTTTGTTTAGTCAAAGACAATTAAGCGTGTACTAACATCTAAATCACTCGTTTGTTTGGCATCGGCCTCTCAAATGCCTTATCACGATTTACAACTTCATTACAACATCCGCTGGACCGATTGAGCCCGTATTTCAAGTCTAGTGACCGTATTATTGCTATTACAGTATTCGCCTCTGAAAAGCGATGAGTTTTCAATTTTTGTTAACGGTTTGAAATTTTACTGAAGAACATACCTGTATTCATGATTTTAATTCATATAGTAGGCCTACAATAAATTATAAATAAGAGAAGTATTAAATTGTATTTATTTTACTGCATTGTAAAACATAATTGTGAATTTAAATATCATAAGGTGATTTGGTATGGTTGATTGATTTGGTGACAACCTTGGAAAAACAAGATCAATTAAATCTTACTTGTTTGGAATAGGACTAAATGAAAAAGGACAAAACTACCGTGATTATTTTCCAAAAAGATACGAAATAACAATTCATAGTAAAATATAAGTTGAAAAATCACAGTGACTGATCTTTAATTCCAAATATGGAACAGTTGAATAACGGTCACAGATTATTGAAACAGATTTATACCTCACGTAACTGTGCACATTTGATTCATATCTGTAATTGAATAGTATTAGATGTAACTACATTTTAAATATCAAGAATTGTCCTCAGTTTCTTGTTACATCATAAAAAATATATTTCTAATATTCAAAGCAGCTTAAGTGTTATTGGGAACCATGCGAGTGTATTTTTAACGTTTTTTTTTATGCCATAAGAAAATAGTTATGATATAAAAATTAAAAGGCAATAGTCTAAAACTATTGATCAATGTACTTCAGTGAACGTACAACAATATAAGTTGGGAATATGTAACAACACTGTTTGCAGGAATTCATTACAGTTTTAAAGCCTACCTTTGTTTTGTAAGTTTCGGGTGTGCGATGATCAAAATATCTGTAAAACATTCTGGTATTAATGTAAAATAATATTGTGCTGTGAATTATTACCCTATAAAGAATAACGTATAAAAGCTGTTAACAATAGTACGTTTGTGTGTATCCTAATCTAATTAGTGTAATGGGCAGATATAACGTAAGCAATATTGCGAAAGTTCGATAATCCTTACTTTTATAGCACTTAATGTTCTATTTTGCGTCGCATTATATGTTTCGCTCATTTATTTTGAAGTTTCTGGAAACTTTTGATTGTAACATAAATACCATTAAGTGTTATTTTAGTATTGTATTAGTTTTGTATGTAATATTGATAGTTATTCTCTAAGAGTAACTGCAAAAAATAAAGACCTCTACATTTATTTATATTGTATGATTACGGTTTGTGATTTGTCTATTTATCAAGCAGTTTGCTACGATATAGTCAACAGCAAATTATCCAATGAGGCTTACACGGTAAACAATTTAGCTTTATATACCAACAAAAAACCCTATTCAACATTTAAATGCTTAAATATAAGGATAAGACAGACGGACTGGATAGCTGAGGGGTTATAGTGATCGCCTTACAATCAAAAGGTCGCCGGTTCGATCCTGAGAAGCCAGTAGCTTTTTTATGGTTCTAAACTTAACCCACCTGTGCCTGATTATTGGTTTAAATTAATTATCCTGACTACTGAAACAGCTGGTCTTAGTCAGTAACAATGCCACAAAGATAATCTTACTCCTTTAAACACTCTTCCTCCACTCATATTTGGATTAAAATACGCCCCATTTCAATTCATAATAATACAATAAAAAAAAAAACAATAATAATATATAGATCGCCTCAATCTTCCTTTTGAGGTTACAATTGGGGATACAATTGCTTGCCAGTTTGGATTTCATAGTTTGGGTGGCTACACTCCGTTATGGTTTTAATTAGTTTAGTTTTACTTATATTACTTTAAAAAACCATGCAGTGGATACGCCAATACCTACAATTATCCAAATAGTTATCTTTGAAGCATTTTGATTGAATATTATTAATATACATAATACATATTTTAATAACAATTATTGGTATAGTGCGGATTCAAAACAATTATTTAACATTATATAACAATAGGTAATCGTGTGAATAGTGTCCACAAGGTTAACAGTATTGCACTAGTAAAATGTATAAAAATAGATAGCCTGAAAAAATATATAAAAATGTATCTTACCCTAATAAAATGGAGTACGTTTTTTATCTTCTAAAACAAAACGAAGAACAAAAATATCTACTTATCTTGTTAAACTTTGTCATATTCTAACCAATTAATTAGAACCTAATAGAAAATTACTAAACGTTAGACTGATACATATCTAATAGGATGTAAAAATTAATTCGAATATTTTTTTGCAAATTCCATTTATTAAAACATTATTATTAATCTAAATTTGTCTTAAAACAAATAACATGCCAACTCTTAATAAACATAACTAATTTTTTTAATAGTGTAAAAAATAATGTGTAATAGTTATAATAATTACAAAAAAAAACCTAAACGATCATATTTAGTGAGCGAAGTTTAGAAACAAATAGTTTTTCACCCGTGAATTTACAGTGTCATGAGAAGAAAATATTGTTTTTGAGAGACAGAAATCCTTTAACAGATCGCCCGCAGCTGTGCTTGATTTGGTGGAGGGACTGTTTTCATCGGAAAGTCACCAATATTTCTTTACACTACTACACAATTTATAACACATGATTGCAACTAGAAATAAAGTACTTGGTAACACTCTTGCCATAAATATTGTTGCTAACCTTTAGGATTTGTTTGTATATTTTTTTTTATTTTCCGCTACTCTAAGCATTTTTCCCCATGACATTTTAATTGTTTACAGAAATATCTGGTAAGCGCAATAATAATGCTTGTTGGACAAATAGTTAAATTTTCAATGATATCTATTTATGGATATTTATAGGTATGATCTGTGGATGCGATACTAGAACCACTCTCCCCACTCTCAAGTGAGTACTACGACTATTCACAGTACTACCCTGATAATTAGACCGATTTGTAAATTACAAGACGAAATTGTGGTTCGGATTCAACTATAAACTGTGGGTCCCTTAATTGCCATTGGTTTTATAGGCTATTAACAGTCCTGTCTAAGGAACCTAAGTAAGTAACAAAGATACAAGATCTAGCCACTCATCCTAAACTCATCTCCATTCACTTGGGTTAAAATACATTTCTTTGTATGGTCCACATTTAAATTAAACGTATTTAAAGTGTCCATCTAGATCCGGGCATATTATTATTTTTTCGTACAAAAAATATTCAAACTGTGTCCGAGTTAGAACAATAGAATATTTTCTAGTAATTCCACAAATTACTAATTTAGTTTTATCAATATAAATTGGTATGAAGCAATTAATTTCAAATCAATATTTTAGCGACTATCATTTAAAAAATGTTTATTTATTAGTGAATTTCCAACTGTTGTACAGTAAAAAAAGTATATTCGCTCAACATCAAATTTCTTTACAATAGAAGGAGAAAGATACGTCATAATCTGGTTTTACCTTTGGATATTCTAACGTAGCTTGTTTTGTTTGTATTAGAATTCGACGGTAAAATATTACAGACCATGTATTTGAAGATATAGCATCTCCTGGCTTAGGTACGTAAGGGCCTATTTACCTTTGGCAAAGAAGGGGAATGGTAGGACTACTTTGGTTAAAAATGTCTTTCATAAAGAGAATTTATGTTCAGTTTATTCGTCATAAAATATTTCAATATACTTACAAAATTATGTGATGTAGCCTACCATATGTACTATAAAAAACAATGAACGGTAGTGTAGCTATCACATTATATTACACTACATAACGCAATGTTGTTTATGGATTGTTTACATTGACAACTCCTTTAAGGTTAACAATTTAATAATTTATTTCCTTTTAAAGAAGACAGTTAGTTATACATCAAAGGTATGAATGAAGAGTACAAGGGAGAAAAGATGTTAAGTAATGTTAATTAAACCACCATAACACACAACAATTTATTTAGACGAAAAATAGTGTGTATATTTTTTTTATTATCTGAGCTAACTTTACTTTTATTTTGAAAGCAGTAGTCTAGACAAATATATGAAAAGCCAACGTGAACTATAATGTATAATGTCTTAACAAATTCATGCATAGTAGCGATAATGAATATTTTACTTACAGTGAGCAATGCATTAGTATCATTAAAATAATACAGAACAAAATATGTTTACCTTCGATACCTGATACATATAATTTTCATCGACGTAGTGAGGAATTCAGGGTGTTGAAATAGTGATATATACCATGGTATGAAGCGAAATACGTCAATGACAGTAATTGCAAACATCTGTTCCAATAGAGGCTACAGAAATTACAGTCCATAGCTTCGAACTGAACAGTATTGCAACATTCAAATGTTGCCTCGGTCGGTTTGTGCATATTTTGTGAACATGTAAAATAAAACGTGCTATATTCCATATGGTATTGTTTGTAACACTATGAATTCTAGTGTTCTATGAAATATCTCACTTTGTTGAACATTGTTTGACTTTAATCAAACAATTTTAATTGAATTTTTAACATTTACTTTACATAATTCATCTCGATTATATAACTTGTATGTGTGAATCAAGATACATTGAAAGTTTTCAAATATGACCGTGAACAATGTTCTAAGTATTCTACGAGTTGTGTTCTTAGTTGTCCACCATTTGTATTGCTACCCTGCTGGCTTAGTATGGGCTTTGCTAATAATGCCTTTATACAAGATAAATGCTTCTCTATTTCATCGTCTGTACGAAATCTTGGGATACATGATGTTGACTATGGGAACTTGGTACACTTGGTCGGCTGGCTATGGTGTTCTAGAACTTGGTGATGATATATCCCCATGTGATCATGAGAAGACTTTGGTTATGATTAATCATCAAACAGCAAGTAAGTATTTTAAATGTTATTGTCCTACCACTGCATGGAAATTATCACATTGTCATAACTGTAAAAAGTACGCAAAATAGTTCATTGCCACTCTAGCTAAATCATCTGATTTCTCAGTTGTTTCTATACTAACCACAACTGCGGATCCGGTACATATACAATAATAACCACCGGTAAGAGATTACATAAACTAAATACCCCCGCCGCAGCAAACCTGCCGACTAAGCGAATTTCCATTTGTCTGAATTGATTTTCAGTTAAATATATTTTAATAACATTAGGTTTAACGAGTACCTAGGTTTGCTGCTACAAGGAAACTAATAAAGTGTGTTTTTGAGTAAAATATTGATAGCTTAGTACAAAATAAATAAATTTGCCAAGTTTGATCAAAATATATTCATAAACAAGCAAACTACAACATTTGACAATATTCTCCATAAGAATATCATGGGAATTTTATATTTACAATTTTTTTAATTTTCTCCGTTACTAATAATCGAACAAAAATACTTTTACATACTACATTATTTGTTTTTTTTAAGCTCTTTAAAAAGGTCTAAAGAGAAATTGGGAAATTTTGTGTTTCGAGGGTCAAAAGTGAGAAAAACCAATTTTTACCCCATAAAACCCCCCGTAAAGCCCCGTTCCCGTGGTCCGATCCTGCTGGTTCGCGAACTCATTCAATTTTATCCCGCTTTACACCTTTAAACCAAATTTCATCAAAATCGGACAAAAATTACTCAAGTTATCGCGTTCACGGACGTATATATATATATAAGTCTATATATATATATATATATACATATATAAAAATTTGAACGAATAGTGTTTTTGGCCTCTGGGGACATCAAAATGAAAAAGTAAATCGGTCCCGGGTCTAGGTCTTACCGTGCCACCTACGGTAATAGCTACTTCCCTATAGGGAAATTCGCTAAAAAAAAACATTAGCTGTTGCCCACGGGGTTCATCCGGTTTGAATCATAAGTAAATAAAACTATTGATTGGTTAAGTTCAGCTGAAAAAAACAAAACAGAACACAGTAATACAAACAAATAATCACACCTGATTTTAATTAGGTAATAAATTGAAAGAATGACATTTAAACAAATTAGTACAGGTGAACAAGAGCTGATGTATTTTTAACATCAGGTATATGGAAGGTTCCCGTTAGAAAGTAATTACGGCCTTAAAGGGCAATTTACGAAATAATGGATAGTTTTGCGCAAGGTTTCTCGTCATGACGAACATTTTAAGTTTATGGTTTATGGCGGTATGACTTGTAGATTTCTCAAAAATTCATGTACTTTGGCATTTATATATGGATGACTTTTATATTTATATAAAAAGTTAATCTGTTTGTTATCGTGGTAGGAAAATCCTTTTTATTACGAACACAAACAGTAATTGGTGCTCTCGAAATGTACGGCCGCACTCAGCTAAAACATCATGCAGCCATCTACAGTAGTTCTCGAGCGGCAATGACGTACTTAGCACTCAAATAGCTAATTTCCGTCACACTATAAACAATTCATTTAATTTTTATCAAGATAAACGCAAAGAAAACACTTGAAGGAAAAAACTGTTTAGTTGTACAGCTATCATACCTTCATATTTAGTGCACCTGGTTAGAATCTGATCTATTAAATAAAGTTTGCCTTTTTGTATTGTTTTATGAATGTAATCAATGTAACCTGTAGGAATTTAATATTTCAACACAGTATTGCAATAGTACAATCGTTTTCCTACAGTTACCTAACAATGTACACGTTCTCTCACTGATTTGAGAAAGCAAAGTGGCCAATTCACTCATCAGTGAGACAATGTTAACATTGTCTCACTCTAACTACTTTGTCTCACTCCAGATTTGCAACGTGAAGGCACGAAATAGTGAGCGCGTAACATGCAGGCAACGTCGTATGCGCGCGAAATACGTTGGCAGCACTGGCTGTAAATCAGCTGGTCAGCTGTTGTACTGTTGTATTTGTCACTTCACATTAAATGTTATATTAAAAGTTCACTTCTGTGTAAAAATAGGTTATGTTTCTTCACAAATTTATTTGTTTTATGGTAACTGTAGGAAAAGTATAATGTGCAACTCGAGTTCAAAGTACACTCGCCTACGGCTCGTGAGTAAGGATTTCTCTCGAGTGAGTCAATTGCTCACTTTTCTCACTAGTTGCACAAATAACTATTTCTGTTCCATTCTGATAAATAATTAATGAATGTGTGTGTTTCAGGTGACGTAATATTTTTACTTTCTTTCTTGATTTCAAGGCTAGAATTCATTAAAAACTCAATGTGGATTATGAATGAAGAATTTAAATACACTCCTTTTGGCACTATGTGTAGAGTAAAAAGACACTTCTTTATCAAAATTGGAAAAGAAAAAAGAGAGCAAGGGCTAGTGGACTTCAAACGGCACTTGGAAAAGTATTTTGCAAATTTAAACAAAAAAAAGATCGTTTTGTTTCCGGAGGGAGGATTTCTTCACAAACGAAGGGCAAAAAGTCAAAAATACGCTTTGGAAAACAATCTACCAGTGTTGCACAACGTGTGTCTACCCCGCCTGGGAGCTGTGCAGACGACGTTAGACGTTTGTCGTTCAGCGGAGGAAAAATCAAGTATGGTTTGATTCATTGCACAGTAGAGTTTTGTATTTAACGTATGGAGTTATTACTTTATACATTCAATTACAATAAGGGATTTGATTCTTCAATTTATTAATAATAATCCTTTTGGAAAGACCTAATGTGTACAAAGACATAGAATAATACCACAACTTTGCTTTATGTGCTTGGTTATTGAACAGTATTTTTTGAACATGGCTTGATTTTTTTTACTTGGTTGGGAATATATAAAAACATTGTAAAATATTTATAATGCAGAGAATTTTGCCTCATTAAATTTTTATGTTATATTATTTTAGGCAACGATCAAAACCTTTTAAACTCTTACAAATGTAAATACTAATAAACTTGTACTGTAAAGTAAGTAAACAATACTCTAAAGAGAAGAACTGAATCAAAAAGGCTAGTTTATAAAACGGTCATAGGTAAATCATTTTGTATATATGTTATCTGAAAAATAAATTGAAATCTAAATATCTTAGATTGTTTTGGTACAAATGTTTTTTTTTTATACTTAATAGTTAAATCTAAGATAATTGCGTAACTTGAACTAGAGGCATGTACTTAAGTAATACTCAGGTAGTCCCCCAATAATTTTCGCCTTTGGAAATTTTTCTATAACTAGTTATAATTTCAATAAATCTAATAATCGGTTCCAAAATACAACCAAATAAAATTAACAATACAAAATAAAGAAAAAGAAATTGCACGGTTAAGTATTGGACTTTTAGTAAATGGTGTGTTATTAGTTTTCACACCAAAAGGACCTCATGTGTCCTTTCCGTGTTAGGAAAAATTTAGGAACATGTAGTTCATCATAAAAGTGAAATGCTGTAGGGTATAATAGAACAAAACAGAACTGCATGTATTTAACATTTTGCCCAAACAAAATTTGTATCACTCAATGCTATATGTTACAGAACAAACTAACGACAACACCAAGTCCTCAGAATTGAAGTGGGTGCTGGATATCACCATAGCCTATCCCGGAGGACATCCTATATGGGTGACCGACATTGCCTGGGCTTCTCGGACACCCTGTAACGTCATCTTCCTCTACCGGCTCTTCCCCGCCTCACAACTACCTTCAGACCCTGACCTAGTCACCAGGTGGCTCTATGGCAGATGGCAAGAGAAGGATGAAATCCTAACTAAGTTTTACTCCACAGGATCAATCCCCGTAGAAGAGGTCTGTAAAAACCCGATCCCTCCACGTTTATTGACTCAAAACCCTCTTGAGCAATTTGCAATCCATGTTTTCTTTCTGTTATCTTCCTACGTGTTGTACAAAGTGTATTTTTTGTTTTTCGATCCAAGCCTTTTCCTATGGCTTCTATTTTTCTACTTAATTTTTCTGACGTTGAAAGTTACAAAGAAGATTTGAACATTTTATAGGAAAACTTAGTAAGATCTTGAGAAACTATGGTTGTACGATTTGTTGTAAAGGTTTGTAGTGAACTGTCTACATTTACAAGGTGTTAATTAGCCCAACACATCCTTACAACCGGACGTAAGTTAACAATTTTTTTTTAAAGCCTACTAGCTTGGAAAACATTAGTATATGAGCTATGCTATTTGCACTTTTTTAGTGTACTTATTTTTTTTTTATTGCATTGGCACACTGGCTAAGCTAATCCAAATGCATACATATTGTACAATAAACTAACCAAAAGGATCCCTAAATAGCAAAACAAACATTATAGGCCTAGACACATTTCTAGTATGAAAACTGTAAAACAGGTAAAGATAAATATGTAAGAACAAGTTAGATGGTTTCCTGATAAGTAAAGAGTTTTTTTTTTATGTTGAGAAAACAATGTTGAACCTGAAATTATTAAGAGGATATACATGAAATTATTTAGAGGGTTGCCGATGTTTATAAGGCGACATATATAGCTTAATTTACTAAAAAAGGTTACAAACAACTGTTTCTACAACATCTGTAACCTCAGAAACGTGCATTATTTAAGCATATTACGAACCTGGTTCTCTGTCCTGTACTAGGTTTATTTTTCGTTTTTAACACATAAATAAATTTAAGCCTTACCTATAGATTTGAATTGTTATAGCTTGAAGATATTTTTACGTTTCATTTACATGTTCATTAGCTTATAAGTGTTTGTTCACCACAGTTACTGATTTGTTTAAAACCGGGTTAGAATCATCAATAACCTAAACTTTTTAAGTATGTGGAGGATAAAGTTTCCGATCATTGTATTGCTATTTTCAACTTTCTGAATAAAACAAGAACTTAATACAAATGTATTAAATGTATAAAGTTATTTTTTCCAACCCTAGGATATATAAAACTTATGGATTTGCAAATCAGAGTCCATTGAGAAATGTATAAGAAATATTGTGTTAAAATGTCAGTTATATTCAATCTACGATATAACTTATCAATCCCTTATAAATTTTAGAAACCAGTATCTGATCTGCTAAAATAAGCCATAAATATTTTGGTTTTATAAAGAGATTGCTAAACGTTAATAAAATATACTTATAAAATGTTATCCAACATTAATTAAAATCTGGACTAGTGTCAAACCACAAAGTCAGGAAGATTATAACTATTATTCCAAAAATGTTAAGAGAATTATGTATTAATTGTAGTACTAAAAGTACACTTTAAATGACTACATGACTACTTTGCGTGATTATACACATTGTATTATATAAATAACCAGTTTTTAGAGGAGTTGATTATCAGTAACAGCTGACGGTCCTGATGAACAATCCAATCAATGCTGATTGCTAACAACGAAGTGTAAATCCAGATAGTTACAATCAGTCTCCGATCCCTCTATCAATAGCTTTAGGCATCTTAGTGATTGTAAAATCATTGACGAGGTCGTGGGAATTCAATTATTAGAAAACAGATCTATTACCAATCAGTTATTACTGAAACTAACTTTCAGTATTCAAGCGTGTATTAGTTTGACTCAAGATGTTTATTTTAATGGTTAACACCAAAATTTGCCGTTAGGTGGGTGATTGAAACATATTTATTGTTTGTGAACAAGGTGATATTAAAATTCATTAATATAATGTAAATCTAGACCAAAGGAGAAGTTTGGAAGACGAGTAGTTTAAACATTTTTAAGTCACATGTTATATGTAAAGTATATTTGTATAATTAATTTATATTTAACAAGCAAAAAATCTAAACTATAACATTATAATTTGCACTAAGTTGTTCGTTTTAAAAACTCAACTGATGTATTTATTTTCATGGATATTCATTACAGATTCAGGTGTAGGACTAGACAGTATTTCTCTATACGAATTGAAGACGTATGAAAAAAAATTACGGACGTTTAAACCCAAAATGGGTTAAAGTTTCAGAAATACAGTTATACATAGGTAAGCTGATAATGTAGCTAATTTAGCGTGGATAAAAGGAACATAAAAAATACGAAAATTATTTTATAGTTTACGCTCTATGTGAACTAACCGTTCAAAAATCCAACAAAATAAATAATCGTGTGATAAGCTTGTCAAAACTAAAAATAGTTGAAATAAAACATGTTTATTTCTGGCAATAACTGTATAATACATAAGTGGAAAATAATTGCTATTAACAGCAATAATTAATACATTACACTTAGAGTGTATATATCCTCAACATAGTTTAAAACTCAAGAAACAGATTTATTTTAAAGTCATAAGGTAGACAAACAATTTTTTCTTATAACTTACTTCATCTGAACTCTTAATGTTGCTTTCCTTCTTAAACTTTCATTTAACTTTACTGTAATTAGATTGAAGTATTTGAAACAAACGTACGTTTGTCAAACGCTATTGTATCTGATTTCAAGTAAAAATTATATTTAATTTGTTGAAAATAATCGCATTTCAAGAACTCGGTTACCAAAGGTTAAAGTATCAGTTTTGAGAGTAATTCCACGAGAGTTCAAGACATAAATAACACGTTCTGGGAGATTTATATCTCTTCGGTTTTCAGCTTCTCTGGACTACCAAACTGTTCATTTAACCTGTGTAAGAATCTGTACATTTAATATACTAACCCTCTTTGTATGATTTGTAAATTTATACTAATCAACACCGTAACAATTTATAACAAAAACCCGTTAAGCTCAATAGTAAAGTTATCATGAAACATTTTACAACCACCCCTACATTTTGTTCCAGACTTATGTCTATTTTTGCATTAAAATGAAGGAACTTATGTGTAGTACAAACTTCTTTGAAGTGACTGTGTATAAAAATCCTTTTACAGTAAATCTCACTCGTAAACGCTTAATTAAAAAGACAAATTTTAGATGCTTTACCACTGTAATAAATTTCTTTACGATAACTTTTATAATATTTAGCTTAACATGGACTTATTTTATATATAAAAAAGATTATACACTTTTTTATTTTTACTGATTAACTTCCAAGTTTTGATACATTTAATAATTGATATAATAATGTATTTGTGTAATTAATACCCTCATTTAAGGAAATACGGCCTTACAATGTCATATTTATTTACTTTAACTGTTAAAAAAATTACAAGGAATTTTTTAAGGAGTTTATTTAAAACCCTAACCTATTAAGATACCTTACACTTTTTATACTAATACATAGGTAATTATATATAATAATAATAAACACAACATCAATCACAGAAATTGCAAAATATGTTAGGGTTAATTTATAGTATTCGGTTTTAATAATGCTATTAATAATAATTCCAAATATGCATATAAATAGAAGCCTTTTAAAGAACATTTAAATCGTAAACCAATATAAATCCCAGTATGTAAATAGAAAGAGCTCTCCCAAACCTCAATTGATTTATCCTGTATTCAAATAAATAGGAATTAATTTGCTTCAAAACCCGCCTAATCGACCTTCATTACCACAAATGAAGGTCTCATTTTGGAGTGATTGGCTCGAATTTATATCTTTATTCAGAGTAAAATTAACATTAGCCAATATTTAATTATTATTAATCGATATGCTTAGTATATCCAACCAAAAAGTGAGGTTTTTAATCAAATATATTCAACGCTTTAACTGCGAACTGCAGAACGTTTTATGTTGTTTCATATATATTACAATAATATAGGTACAATATACAATATTTTAAACCTATGTAAAACAAGGTAGATGTTTGGTAGAGAATGACTTATTGCAGTCAGAAATCCTAAGTAAAATCAATAAACTGAACTTAACGTTTGCAAACAGTCAAAACAAGAGGAGAAATTAGTCATACTAAACGAAAAACGTAAACAAGAGTATTTTGCAACAGTTAACTACACGACCGAGAGAAGCGCTGCGGCGTACCGCGACAAGCAGGATGTTGGTTTAATATTTACGACCAAACACAGCTCAGCTCCAAGCCGATCTGCGTAATCTGATCCTTGCTACGCTCACTTGGAACTGCTGTGTAGCTATGTAACTGAAACCGCTATACAGATGATAAATTAGCATATCTCAACATTTTTCTTGGTTAGTAGTGGTAACAAAATAGTTTTCCTATTTGAACACAGTAGTCTAAAGCTAAAGTGAAACTGCAGTTTTATCAACTAGGATCCAGAATATATCGGTAATGTGAACCTACCTCTGTTTAAGTTGTAGAAGTTGTCAGTATACTAACTTATTCTTTTTAAATTGTGGGTGTATATTTGGCTCAAATATTCTTCGATGGTTTTACCAAGTTCTGCTCATTTAGAACTGTTAGTAACAACGGTAACTACATTGTCTACACTATTCAACATATGATAGCTTATTTCTTAGCTAATTCCATAAGGTTTTTATTTATTTACGTATTAGACATTAGTTTGAACCGAAACCGAATTCTTGATCAATCACAGATCCAAGCATATTTCCAAAAAAAGATGTCTAAAATACTTACGCAAAACTTAATGACTATTACTTATCATCATATTGTTAATATCTACTGATGATTATTCCGTATAGACACTTAATTCTTTATTCTATTCTAAAACAGTTAAACAAGTTTAAATTTATTCATCTTTTGTATAAGCAAAAAATGAGCTATCCATTTGTGTTGTTCCTTTTTAGCTCATAAACAAGTATTACTGCCAATACAGGTAAAAATACATAAATATGCATTTCTAAAACCTTTTAAACTTGATTTTCTAAGCGTATTCCAAATAACGAAACTCATAATCCTGGGACCTATAATGAAATGTAAGGAGGTATTTTACTGGTTTAAGGGTCAATAATAATCAAAGTTTAAGATAAAGCTTTCAGTACAGCAAAAAGGTGAGGCCTTCGAGAACGAAGCAGTAAAATTGATTAGGACGCAAGGGAGAATGGTATAAGTTCGTCATCCAATAAGCAGGGACTGGATTGTTCACCAACATAGTCAGCAATTTCTGTCAATATAGGATCTTTAAACTGAACCTGTGCACTTTTATATGTAGCCTTCCAGTAAATAATATCGATAGTCAACACATTTCTTGCCAGTAATTTGCTTATCATTGTGATAATATACTATAAAATCATGACAAATTGATGCATCATGGAAACAATTTATAATTGTAATGATAACGTCGTCAACATACGCCTTTAGGAAATTATGTTACTTTGAGATTTAAATTGCTAACAACGATGTAAATAAAGCTCAGATGGAAATTCTAGTTTGTTACAAAATCAGTGACAAACAAAACCAATTAGGATATCAGGCACGGGCGAGAGCCAAAATTGGTCTTTAGCTAACCGTTTTGTAGCTGACGTTTGTCTCAGATAACGCAGATTTGTAGCGTTCGCAGGCTGTTGTTTTCTGACGTTGAAATTTGTATTTAAATTAGTTTTGAACCCTCATTGTTAACTCAAATGAATTATAGTATATTTTAATAAACAAATATGTTAATTAAAATACGTTTTTTCGTAGCTACGTAGTATTTAATTTCCAGTCGTTAATATGATAAAAAAATGGGTAGCTAATAACTTATTGATAATTTATTGACCTAACACACCCGTTCCTATAATTCTTGTGGGTGGTCAGCTTAGTATTTTATAAAAAAATGTAATACAAAATATAAAGTAAAGATTTCTCATAAGCTTTAAATGATAAAAACAATTATAGTTAAACATTAAACGAAATAGTCATACAGAAAAACGATTACAACAAAGTCAAAAGTTATTACACCTGTCACAGTTCTACCTCTGAATCCAGTCGTAACTTGTCAATTGTCAGTTCAATCATTTTTACATTATAAAGTTAGTTAGAATCATATTTTTTTTATTTTAGTTTTATTATCAGATGTATATTTTTTTATTTATTACATTGTTTTGTACTCATTGCCGTTTTTGAATTAATAATATAACTAAGACTGGCGAGTAGTTTATTATTGCAATAAATTAAATGATGATAGAGTAATATTATGATAATTTACGTAATTAGGGAACGGCTTAGTAAATGCAAACAAATTTCACAGCTTATCCAAATATTAAGGAAATAAAATTAATATAAAACACTTATAAGTTGGTATAAATAAAATTGCTAGACAGGTGTTTGTAAGTTTGTCATCACAAATTAAGGGTCACTGGTTCTATTCCAAAGTAGATGTATTCAGAACACAAATTCCATTGATCTTTGGGCTGTCAATTAATTATGCTTTCCAACAAACGGTAAATGATAGCAACAAGACGATAGTTTGGAATGGTTACTGAAAAAACTTAGAAAATGTTTACAATATTGATAAACCTGAAATAAAATCCAAAGTTAAGAATATAAAAATTTGAAAAATATTAGAATTATATCAAATCAAATGAAATCAAAATCAAAATTTTATTGGCCATTCAACATTTAAGTAATAGGTTAGGTCACAAAATTAACAAATAACGACCCTCTTGGGTCATCTTGACGCACAATACTTAGTCAGTCCAAGTTATTAAAAAAGAAAAATATGCACAAAGAACACCATGCAGAAAACACTAAAATATATATATAAATAAGTGAAAAAATGTATATCAACATGACATACAAGAACAGTCTGCCATATTACACTTTATTCAAGTCCAATCATATAACAATGATTCTTACACATGTCTTACTCTAGGTCACCAAAAGATCATATTTACTCTAATTATGTAAAATAACAACTACTAAAAACTTATATAGAACTTTATAAATAAAGTGACTGTAACGTAATCGCAATAAATACATTTTCCTTGTTGGAGTTAAAGCAACATTTAGGGTTCTGCAACATGTATTTTATATTTTGTAAAGTCGTTAACGTAAATGAAAAGTATCTGTGACGGGATTACGTAAGTAATTTAGTCTTACATTATTTCCAAAAGCTCAGGGGCTACGCACGTGGATTTTAAATAATATAGGTTGCTTACATGCACCAACAAATCTTAAAATGTCTTAGGCTTTATTTAATGTCGAATTTTGACAAAATCTATCTCATCAAGAAGTAAAAAGGAATGAAGATTGATGAGTGCTATTTTACCCAGGAGGCAAGCTGAAGAATGATAGAAAATACTCGTACGTCTTGGGAATTAGAAGCAATGCCATTAATTTAATCAATGATACAATTTCTCTTTCCAAGCTTTCTAATCTTACACAATCTCTGAAAATTCAATTTATTTTCTTACTGTATTTATTTGAATATTATTTACACAAGCGTTATAAATATTAGGTCTACTGTACTTATTATTTTGGTTAATATTATGATAGATGAATTATTCCAATCAAACATTCTAATGACATGTTAAGTCAGATAAGTAGTTTTATAAACATAAAATGGTCAGAATCTTGGTAAAAAATGTATTGACATACTTTCATTGCTTTTTGAATAAAATCAGGACTATTGAGTTTGTTAGGACATATCGTTGTGCATTGCATGAAACCCTTTTATTTGAGTTTACATTTTCAAAAAGGAAACACGTTTTTACACGTACGTTTTAATGTGACGTGATTTCACTCATAAAAACTTAAATTTTTTTTATTTTCGTATTTCACATTTACTGCAAATTTTAATCTTTATTTTTATCTATGAATTAAAAAAGACCAAATGATAAACACATTTCATAACGACAGTCAAAAATGTGTTTTTTTTTAATAAATCTGTTTTTACATTTATGGACTAAAAACAATTTAGATACTAATCCATACATATCAATTTTTATATAAATTTTATGTAACCGTTACTTTGATCAGAATCCAGTGGGTTGTATCCTTTAAACGACTATAACAAAATCATCACAAACTTTAAAAATATTTCAAAGAAATATAAACAAGTTAAAAGACTGTTTCCTGTAGTATCTATTGGGTTCGATAAAATTAAAATGGTCCATACTTTAATATACAGGGTGTTTGGTACTAAGTGTGAAAAAATTTTTTTGATATAAGTACAAAGTAAATGCAGTATGATGATGCATATAAAATGTCCCAAGTCAAAAAATTAGCTTCCCAAAGAATTATTTTATGTTTTTAAAAAATGACTATGTTTTTAAACTTAATACAGCTATTTCTCAATTACCTGTAAATTGATTTGAGTAGACAATGTCATTTTCGTGTTCTACATTAAATTTTGAATAAGAATAATACAAAATGACAGAGGATCAGTTGTAAAAACTCCATCGTAAATAGATTCAAAGATAAAAATTAAGATGTTTGGTAAAAATTCAAAAAACATTGGTCAATTGCATTTGTTCACACCCTGTATACAAGAAAGTGTCGGAATATGTTAAAAACTGCGCCATTTTATAAGCTTTCCATCCATATGCTACACCATTGAGCTTTCTGTCTGCTTATGTACGCTTTCGTGGTTTGAAGACTACAAAGCATGGCGTATTTATAATTTAAAACATAGAAAGTCAGCATGTATTAAGCAAAAGTTGTATTTTTGTTTCAGCTTGAACAGTAAAAACAGTAAAAAAGTTCCCTGTTTTCTGGCATTCAAACCACTAAAGTAAACAAAAAAATATTTAAACCTCAATAGTGTTATGGCTGGAAAGCTTATGAAATGGCGCAGTTTTTAACATATTCCGACACTTTCTTGTATACAGGGTGTGAACAAATGCAATTGACCAATGTTTTTTGAATTTTTACCAAACATCTTAATTTTTATCTTTGAATCTATTTACGATGGAGTTTTTACAACTGATCCTCTGTCATTTTGTATTATTCTTATTCAAAATTTAATGTAGAACACGAAAATGACATTGTCTACTCAAATCCATTTACAGGTAATTGAGAAATATCTGTATTAAGTTTAAAAACATAGTCATTTTTTAAAAAAATAAAATAATTCTTTGGGAAGCTAATTTTTAGACTTGGGACATTTTATATGCATCATCATACTGCATTTACTTTGTACTTACACCAAAAAATTTTTTTCACACTGAGTACCAAACACCCTTTATATTAATTCCATCCATTTTATAGTTTAAAAACAAATTTTCAGTTACCTTACTACTTAATAAAAATTAATAATGTGGTTTTAATTCATAAATATTACTTACAATATAACGTTTAGTAACACAAATTAGTGGTAAAATATTAGATGACGGTTTTTTCTGAAAAAGATTTTGAAAATAATAATACTGTCAACATTGTTTTTATCATGACTTTAAAAACGCCACAACCAAAGATACAATAAAAACACTTAGGTATCCGTCTTCCAAAAGTAAGATATTTTTCTTATTATAAGCACTTAGTTCAACCGTTGCTGTATGTAGGTCACAAAGATTGTCTATGCTGCAGTTTCCAAACACTAGATTATCATCCAATAGCTGGACATGTGACCTTTTATACGATACTTTTAGTCAGCAGCCTTTCTTTAGCTACCTTTCAGGTACAAGAATTGCATAACCTTGATTTTTCATAAATCACAGATTGCACCTGATAAACTACTTAGTTGGGAATATTAATTAAATATGAGCCAGAGAACATTTTAATTTTAATATTTTACCTTTTTTAAGTAGTTGTTTTATGTTAATCGGGTGTGTGCAGTCCTAGTGGTTAGCATCTTGGAGTTTAGTGAGGAGTGACGGATTCGATTTCCGGCACATTTACAAAACACATGGGTTTGTACCACTTTCCCAAAATGCGGTCACTGTTACTGACAATCGTATCGTAACAATTAATAGATACCGTAGCTCTTTTAAAGCTGTACAGCCTATAGTCGTTTAAGTTAGTTTGTTAACTGAAAAGGTTAGCCCCCTGCTACACAACCGTTTACACTTCCTGGTCCCGACCGCCCTCTGTCACCTGGACGACAGAGCGTTGTGTTTACACGACCCGTTCTCTGCCCCGATCTGAACTCAGTGCGTTGCTTTCCTTCGTTGCAGGACGTCAATATTAGATATAAAAAGTGATTTTTTGCATGTTTTTAAAAGTGGAAACATTAAGCTTGAGAAGTGTGCAGCGACAGTAGTTAGAAAGATTTGTATACTTCGATAATTTCCGTCAAAACGTTTTTATTCCTTTTATGGAGTATATTCCGTCACCTCGAAACCACGAAACGTAAAAGACAACTCAGACACTCATATCAAGGTTGAACTGAGAGAATTACCTGTTGTAGAGCTTCGGAATTCATATCTGTTCCCAGCAGAAGTGAGCTATCCCCACCCTTCCTCGCTAAATCTGATGGAAATCCATCCCGACCTCCCTACCTGACCCCCAACCAAATCGTGACCAGGAGCACGTGTTTCACGAACCGATTTCAGGGCCGACATTGATCAGGCCCGATTTAGGGTCCCTAAAATCAGGTCGTGTGAACGGGGCTTAAGTCCAGTTGTTGGCACCCATTCTAACGTATTAGCAACAGTTATGACTAAATTATTGTTTTTGGACATATATACATTTAATTTTTAAAGTTTAAAAACCTGAATGCTAAACCATCAACAAAAAGAGGAATTTAAACCACAGACTATGCTGCAAAAATGAATTCAAAACCGTAAAGCAAATCATTTATTTGTGTATATTGTACTTACTTTTGTCAGCCCCGAGTTGCAGTACGTCTGAAACAAATAATCAATAAATGAACGCTATCTATTGAATTCCTTTTTATCTTGATATAATTTTTTTTACCCTTTGAGTGGTGTGAAACGGTATATCGTTGTTTCCTAATATATCTAAGGGATATAGAGAGGCTAAATATCCTTTTTTTTACAAAAAATTAGTAAAAAGGCCTTTGGTGACATGCATGTTTATGGGATGCACTTAACAACCACTTAGCATGGGTTATAAACCTAAAATTATGAACACCTATGTCCCAGTGGTTGTAGTATATCCCTATACACAGGACACAGGCCACTAACTATTATTCTCACAGGACGGGATTCGATCCCAAGCAGACGAAGCCCACTGGCCAAGTGACACACGCCCTAGCCACCTCCGCTATCTGTGCTTGGAGACAATGGTGTAAAACCCGGTTTTAGTCAACTAGGTTGGGTGAAAAATATGTTTGCTTTTCTAAGCATTCAGTTTCTTCATAAATTAGTTATAATCTTGAATGTGCGTTACGATAAAGTTCTTAAAAGTCTCAGCTATCATGTAAAATTGTAATTTCATCCATATCATTCAATCGAATCGTTCTTACCTAAAATGCAATTTTTTTATCAACCTAAAGGTTATTCAGATATTATTTAAAAGCTTATGATTAAATTCGCTCTATTTTTAATTTAAAACAATCCACAAACAGTTCCAAATTGTTTAAATTTGTCAAGACTTAGGTCACATTAATTAGGTACTTTTGTTGTAGATAAACGTTATAGTTTTTATAATAAAACACTTTTGGTAATTCCTTTAGGTGTGCAGTTAAACACTACGATTTACCATTAAATTGTAATGTGTATCGTATGTTATAACATATGTTTATTTATTTTTTATTTTTCAAAGAGTTACAATTTTCCTAAGCTAACAAATGAAACACAGTTTATGGAGATATGATTGTTTCTCTATTCAAATCCCCTGGTAATTACTAGTTTGGCGGTTGTAGCTATTGTAGGGTAGAAACAACACAGTTTCTCTGCTTTACCTCACACTAACATTGTTTTCAATTAGTAACTGGGGGTTGCTGCATTTTACCTTTATAATTATCCTTACTAGTGTACCTGTTGCTCGAATTCGAGCAATGTTAAGTATTACAGGCGTTATTTTAAAACGAATAACAGTCATAATTTATGATGACTTTAAATATTTGATTCAATGATTATGGAAATACTGCCTATCAACAGCCTATGCAGCGATTATCCAACAGTCATAAATTGAATGTGAAATCTTCAGGCGGCTGTTGGAGAGCACACTTAAACCCAACACGGTTGGGTGCTTGCTGGATTCGGCTATCAACGACAATAGTATTATTGTATTTCGTTCGTGTCTACCAGTTAAAGTTCGTCGGCCTCTTCCTATTTTCCGTCCTGGTCAAAGTCTTATAGTCTCCATTATGTCGAACGTTTTTTTTTCGGTGATGTTTTGATTTTGTGCAAAATCTTAGTATAACCATCTGTTTAAAATATTAGTGTCAATTTCAAAGTATTCATCTGTTCAAATATAAACAAACATTTTCTCCCTAAGAATAACATGGAAACTTTGAAGACCACTGGGGCAGAGCCCTGATGGAATTCCAAAGTTTTGCTGTTTGATGGCAAAACTACATGCTAAGACCTTTCTAACGACACCTTGGACATGGTGATCGGTAGCACCACCACTCCAAAACAATTATGACAAAAATATGCCTAGCGTATTAAATATATAGATTATGGCTGGAATAAAATTATATTACAATAAAATATAAAAAGAATTTTATATAAACAATTTTTATTAGGAGGTAAAAAAAAATACTGAAAAATTATTCTTACTAAATTACACAATCAGATTACCATCATTGTTAGGCCTTAATTTATTTTTATTTGATACAACTTTACTTTTTTTATAGTTCGCAATTTTATTTCCGTTCTAAATAGTAGAAAATAACACTAATGACGACGGTACAGCTAGGAAATATTTTTAAAAGCTTAATTAAACTTCTAAGAATATTCAAGACAGTTGACATTCATAAACCTATTCTACATCTAAACGTCTTGATTGAATTGTAGCTACAGCTGGACAGTTGGGGGATACAATCATTAATCACAACGGGCCTTATTAATGATTGTTTAATAGTCTATGTTTTCCACTGGTAATGATATTAACTTAAAATTAAGATTTCAATGATTATAAATTCCTGATGAATTTGCACTTGAATCACAAAATGCACAAAATTGTTACAAAAATGTATTAGCTCTTTTTATACACATCGTTTAAAGCTGATAAAATTTACTTTTTAAAGAAAATAATCTTGTCTTTGTATTATTAGATAAAAAGTTCATACATTTCTTTAAAACAGGTGTATTAATCATTTTGCGGGCAACTCGATTGATCAAGATACCGTAATTGCCTGGTCTGGAAATATATTAATAGTACAACAAACGAATACTCATATAATAATAGCAAACTACACGATTTAATTTTAGATTAGTCAATTCGTTGATTAGAAATTAAGTAGGTTTGTGCTCCAAGCTCAAGAAAGTAAGTTTATTCTTACAATGTTCTCTTGGAATATTAATGAGTTTTGAACTAGTTTTCATTGCACAGAAAAATCGTCTGACAAAACTTGACATCATTACCTGAACTGGAGAAACATTGTTCGGTTAAATAGACAGTAAAACATCTTTTTAGATCAAGTTGATATATTGAAAATAAACAACGTTCTCAAAAGTATAATGCCTGCACATCGCAAATGCTACTTTAAAATCTGTCGTACCTCAACTTTCGTACTTGGCATCAACCAAAATGGGTCTACATATTTTTTTATACTAAACAATGGTAAACGTATGTTTATTGTATACCACCGAAAATTAATAAAAGTCTCTGGCTAATGATGGGAACTTAGATGTTCTAAAGAAGAATAGAAAAAACCTTTTAACAAAAATCCGATGGTACTGTTTCTATTAAATAAACCTGCTTACTTATGGGTTTGTAAAATGAGTATTTTCAACCGAGTACAACTTATGTTACACTTCACGTTTATTACTACACTAAAACTGAATTCGCTCATAAAAACTCGAGGACTGAAAATTACAATAAAAGAAAATACGTCGTCTTAAGGTTATAGCACCCGTTTGAACTTTATAATAGTACTAAGTAGTCCCTAATTAAAGTAATAAGTAAATTGAAATTGTTTTATAGAAATTATCCTAATTTGTGTAATTATGTTTTCTTATGACCTATAAGATAACAGAGATATTGTGAGATATAAGAGGATATTGTTTCCTAATAATGGTGTAGCTCTTATAGAATCTTTCTTACATAGCTATATACTATTCATATGTCCATCTTATATTTATTTACTTTGTATTTTATCATGTTATTTTAAGCATCCCCTTGTATATTTCGTATTTCATATTTTAAAACGTTAGCTCCGAAATAAAGTAATTTTTGTTCGTTTGTAATTTTCTGTATAATGTTTTCCTTTTTTACCATAGCTAACTATAAAATGATATTCCATTAAATAAATGTGAAAACTAAAACATTGAGGGAACAGCTGTTGATAACAAACCGCAATAACCACTAGTTTAGACCAAAAACCAAAAAAAATAAACGGTATCTGCAATCTGACATATACTTTCTCCCATTAGCTTGTCAACAAGGTTTATAAAGGGTAAGCGATGAGCGTAACTATGCTATTTAAAAACCACAAAAGTTGCATTGGACGGGGTTGCAGGTACCGGTTGTAAAGGGGGGTTGCACTTTTTTGTTTAGAACTATAAGGACCATTTTAAACGCATTTAAATCAGAATCATTTTTTTTTCTTCAGAAAATATTTTTTTCAATTGTTATGGGGTTTTATGGAAAAAAACGTGAGTTATAATTACATTTAAACCGAAATTTTTACAGGAATGGGGAGTTGCACTATGTTGTTAAGAATTACAAGGAATATCACATACTAATTTCAATGAAAACCGGCTTTTTAAATATTTTTTTCCCTATTTTATGGGGGCTTTATAGGAAAGTTACATAATTTACAAAACCTTTGAAACCGTTTTTTTAGACATTGAAGTTATACCATTTTGTTAAAATTTTAATGGACTAGAAAATACTAAATTTACATAAAAAAAGTTCGGGGCATTTTTGAAAAATGTAATTTTCCCGTTTTTTTATGAGTAAAAATTTCATGCATTGTTATATTTTACGTTTATAGTTATATATAATAAATATATATCAAAACAATTTGAAAACTGTCTCACAGAACGTAGACACCAAACCTGTGATATAAATCGAGACACCACTATAGGGTTAGGCCTTCATCATGAGATATAATAGACTATTTGTAATTGGCAGTAAACGATCTGCAGCACGGACTTCATAAAATGAGTTTTACCTCAGTCTCTGATATTACTCGCTCCGTTGATTAAGAAACCACTTTTCACTGGTGGAAAAACAATCACCCAGTATGTAAAACAAATTTTAGTTTACTATAAATGTAGAATATACTAGTTATGGTTACCTTGTTATTTTTTTTTTATTTTACCGATAACTTGCTTCTTTTTTCACCATAATGTAGTGTAAATAAAATCATAAAAAAGTAAATAAAGAAAATAATACCAATATTGTACATCTGGGAGACCCTTAAAACTGTTTACAAGAAAAGGGAATTTCAAATATATTTTAAAACCGTAAATAGGAAAATTTAACGACGTGACCAAAGTCATATAATAGTATATGGATGTAATATCCCCCTATAATTAGTTTATGGAGGAAGTATTGTTTTCGTAAAAATTTTGAAAATACCAATAGATTTTATCAAAATCTTATTAAGTTAAACTTTTTTTTAATACTTTTTTTATTACTAAAATCTTTATTGATGACAAATGTAATTTTTAAGGTTTAGTTTCATCAAGACTTTTAAAATTATACTAAAATCGACCATACTCCCTGTTTGAAAATTTTAAGCTATTCCCCAACCCCACTACCCTTA